GATTCATGGAGCAGGAAGTATTGCCATTTATGTACACTCCCTGTGACTATGCTGCTCAGATCTATGACTATGATACGCTGTGTGTCGTAATCCTGTAGTATGAGTGCTGTTACCCAAATAGAACTGCAGATTTCAATGGGAGTGAAAAAGCAACAAGGTAGATATTGCATTTTATCAATGTGTGACCTCCATATGCTGACAACGTTGTATTCATAATATAATGCTTTATTCTCTATGAATTACTGTTTTTACAGCATTTGCCTAAATTAAAGAATCCTAACAGATAAAAATTTTCTCACTTTTATGTTGATTTTTTTGTCCTGTTATATGGAACAGTGAATAAATAAAAGAGTGAGCTTTATTATACCTCAGTATTTTGTATCTTTTTTTTTTTTTTTCCTGGAATGTATTCCATAAAAGACTACTAACCAAACCAATTCAAGTTGTGTCTATATGCAAGATTATAATATAATCAGGTAAAATACATATCTTCATTTGTTGCTACAGTGAAACATGGTGTCCCCTGGGGTTCTGATTTAGGTCCATCTGTCCCTCTTCAGTGAATATTTGAGTTGATTTGATATGTCGAAATAAAAGAGCATAAAAACAATAACATTAAGTTTAAAGTCTATTTGTTTTTCATGAAGGTCAAATGTTTTGAGTTTTTTTTCTCATTAGACTATAGCCTAATAGATTTGTTGCACAAAAATTTCATTTGCGAGGTATTGATACATGAAAAATAAAATAATCAAAAAAATTTTAGAACTTTGTCCACTCTAGACATGAAACATAACCAACATATAATCAAATTGAAAAACAAATAAAATCAGATAGATTTTTAAAAAGTGCATACGTATGCATTTCCCTGCATTAGTTTTGTTAAATATCTTTTTGATTCAATCCCTGCATTTAATTCTCTTGGGTATAAACCAAGCATCATTTACGTATAGCCTCTTAATCCTACAAGCTAGAAATACAGTGTTGTTAGTATTATTCTATTGACAAATGATCATTTGTATTCTTTAGTTGAAGCTATAATTTATAGAGAGGTCAAAGAGGAGTTGGGAGTAGGAGCGGTGGTCTAGTGGTTAGAGCAGTGTGCTTGTGCTCTGAGAAGCTTGCAAGTACCTGGTTTTGATCCCCATAGCCTGCACTATGGCCTGCAATCCCTGAGCAAGACCCTTAACCCCCAAAGGCTCCCCAGGCGCCGCACAGTGGCAGCCCACTTAGGATTGGTTAAAATGCAGAAGTGAATATCTCCACTGAGAGATCAATGATGTTCAATCATTGTTATTATTATTAAGAGGACCAACCTTTGCAGAGAACAGAGGGGTAATATTGCCTGGGCTATGTGGTATGCTGACAGACTCCTAAAGGGAATGCGTGTAAAGGTTCTCAGTCATCCAGGTCATAGTCATTCCAAAAAAAGTTGAAAACAAACCACTGGACTTTTCCAAACAACCTTTCCACAGAAGCATAGCTCAACACAGGAGATCTACCACCTCTGGACAAGACTCTGCAGTCCACCTACAACTTAAGGACAAAGGACACTCTATTGAAGACCAGAATGTTCACATTTTGGACAAAGAAGACAGGTGGTTTGAAAATGGTGTGAAGGAAGTCTTTTACATTAAGAAAGAAAAACCAACCTTAAACAGAGGGGATGGCCTCAGGTTTCAGCTATTGAAAACCCATATCACAGTTTTAGAGCTGATTCCTTCCGACTAATACCTCAACACTCATCGCCATGCAGGTGGTCAAATCATTGGCCCTGTAAGCAAGGCCAACGACAACCTTAACAACTCCCCATTTCAAAAAGGTGGAATCTGTTTTCAGTTCAATTTGCATGTTTTCTAAGCCATAACAAGGCTTTTGTTGGACTCCTCTATAAAGCCTGGAGTTTCAGACTACTCCAGACATTTTGAATTGAGAAAGCTTTCTGCAGTGGAAAAAAAGTCAAGTAGTTTGTTTTTTATTTATTTATTTGTTTTTATCCTACAGAGAATAAATGCTGAAACTAAATTAAAAAGCTTAAAGTTTTAGATTATTGCAGCTTCATTTAAGCTTTTAATTTTTACCTCCAACATATATGTTTTTCTATGCAATTGTACAAAATAAATGTCATATCAAACTGAAAAGATTTTTAAAATGATTCAAGACTGTTTTATCAGTTTACTGCACAGAAACTCACATTACAGCAGTATGCACATTTTTATATGCTCTGTGTATTGTTTTCATGTAAGCCCCTGTTAAAATCTGCAATATGTAAACTAATGTAGGGTCAAGTGCATCAGTTGAAGTTATCCGACATATTGCATGTTCCGCTCAGCTCTGTGATTGCTGGGATTTGATTAATAGTTTTGATATGCCTGTCTGCTCCTCCTCCTCCCTGACAGCAGTAATATCTGCTCATGCTTCCATCCACGAGGGGAAAGAACATTGAAGCTCTGTTTCTTGTACTTTTTTGTTACATAATTTTAAAACCAATCACACTTTTCGATTATAATGTTGAGAATGCATTTACACCAAACCTGTCAGAATCTCAAAAATCAGCACATCACAAAATGTACAGTCTAACCTCACAAGTCTGATGCTTTTTTTTAACACATTGGGTTACATAACATGAGGCTGTTTTTTTTTTTACTCCTACAGCTGCTTGTTGTCAATTGGCCCGCATTCATTGCTTTGCCTACATTTTTATCCAGCAGCAGCATTTTATGCTGACATGTGTAGGCAGGTGCATTTATATAAACACCTGCTTTGCTTTCTACTCTTACCTGCAAACTTCAAAGGCCTATTTAGAGCTGCAGGAATAAGGTATTTATGTTGGTCACTGGAACATTCTAACCTTCTAATTTAATTGTGCTTTTGTATGTGTCATGAAGCCCTTAAGATAATATTAGCTTCAGTCTAATCTAGGAAACTAGACTTTTCTCACACATTTCATAAGATAAGATTTACACACCCATAAAGGTTGTTTTGTCTCTTTCATTGTGTTTGCACTCTAGATTCTTGGCTCTAAAATGGATGTTAAGTCCTTATTTTGCACTTAAGTTACACATTAAATCTCACAATAGACTTGTATTAACTCCAAAATTATTTCACTAGTCAGCTTTAACCAACAAGCTGCTATAAAATCATAAAATATTACCAAACTAGAGTTATCAGAATATGTTCTATCACTTTTACCATCATTAAGACAAAAATGAAAAAGAGTCAAAAGCTGTTTTACCTCATATATCATTGTCATTTATAATGAGAGATTGCATAACCATGCATGAATGCATAAACATCTTACAAGTTAAATTGTTAATTCCTAACAAACCACGAACTCAACTTACAAGTTCCCTTTAATTTAACATTTTGTGCAATTTACCTCTTCAATAACAATAACCAAATCTAGAATTGCACTGGAATTGTAAGGCGAGATGATTAATCAGTGCCACTTTGAACTGATAATAAATATGTTTTTGCTGTGCAAGTAAAGTACTCATGTAGTGCCAGAAGAGTAATCATACCTCTCTTTATGGTTTGTTTATACAAAATTTTTACATGCATAGACCAATAATTTTCCAGATTATTCTTTGAAAATGTGGTCAAAACTTGGTCAGAAGGCATATAAAGAACATTTATCAAATCTTGCTATGCATGCAGGGGTTGGATATAAATTTCATTTAAGTTATTCCACAGGATTAATTTACATCGTGACATCAACTCTGAACAATGATGAAGAAATACAAGTCAACATAAGCATGGTGTATTCAGGTTGATGCACAAAGTTAATTTTCAACTACACATAGCATTTTACATCTAAGCCAAATATCTATTATGGTATCAGTAAAGTAGAGTTCTGCCTTCCTTAACTATTGTCCCAATGAGGCATGTAATGAACTACAAGGAGGATCTTTATAAATTCTTTCAATAGAGACTTAATTTTTGACATCTTTTCCACACAAGAAAAAAGTTGTATCAACAGATTCAACCCTCTGAAGTATCTGGTTAATCTCTGCAGCTCTGCAGTTACCATGGTCTTCAAACACGGCTTGTTAAATGGCAGTGTGCATGTGGATTGGCTTATGCCATGCTCTTCTCATTTCTGGATGATGTATTGAAAAAGTACTCTTTCTCCTCTCGCTTTCGGTTTTTCTGTCTGCTATGTTCCTTGGCCTTCATGATGCTGTTTATTTAGTTTATTGTTGTTTTTTACATTCCATTAACTAGTTTTCTCAGAAACACCTTTCAGGACCCTTTAAAGAACATTTGAAAATTTGACTGATATTAAATAATGCACAAGAGAATTTATCTGCCAATATTATTAGGTTACTTATCGGGGTTTGTTGAACTGGATTTTCTTTAAAGGTATTTATATAAACATGTAAGCATATATAGGCCCAGTAACACTTTTTACATATCTATTTAAATGTGTAAAACGTGAACATGTCATTGGCTTCATACTTAAAAATTATATCACACTTGTTTTTTACTGACTTTCCCTTTTTTGATAAATAAAGTATTATTGAATTAAATTTGTAGTTGTAATGTGAGAAAATTTGAGCTACTTCAAGGTTCATATAGTAATTTACAGATAAAGTATAAAGACTATTTGGTGCTGGTACACATTGCTTGCTTCATATGTTTTTTTATATATATATTTATAAATATTAATAATCATCTTAGCAGAGGGACTCCATCCTTGAGTTTTTAATACTCAGGAGTTGCCTGTGCAGACAGTTTTTTCTTTTCTTTTTTTCCCCTAGTCTGTTCTATCTACAGAAGAGGACTCGATGTACAAAGTCGTGACTGTCTGCTCTGGTCTGCTTTCAAGAACTCCGGAAACAAGACTAGAGATGGGAATGGAGGCTGCAACATCCGCGTGATCATCGCGCGAGCACCAATGGCTTTCCACCGAGCGTGCTGAGCACACCGGCATCCCGTGAGGAAATGGGCGGTCCCGGGAAATCTCGACCGGGTTGCGTGGGCGGCTGAAGATCCGTGAAAGGGAGCTGCGGCGGCGGTATATAAAGGAGGCCGAGCAGAGCTTTCAGACAGGACGGAGCTTAGAGATTTCAGCACCACAACTCCAGTGGACAGCGACGCGTAGCAACTCTTTGAAACACTCAACCCAAAAAACAGCCTATTTCCCATCATGGTTCTCATCTGGACCCAGTTCGGTGTGAAGCAAAAGAATGGAAATGTGAAGTGCAAAGTACGAGTTATGCACAGGGGTGACAGCTCCGGATCATCATCATCAGCGGTAAGGAGAAAATACGTTTCTTTATTGTGTTTCAGTCTAGAGTTATGTGTCAGATTTTATCTTAGTCTGTGCTTCACCGGCATCTTTACGATATGCTGTCATTTCATTCACACACATGCTAGAAAACGCGGATCCCCCATCAGCCAATCGCTGCACAGTTTATCAGTTGTTGGGGGAAAGTCTTTTGCTTCACATGGATAACCCCCCCTCTTTCTTACGTTGATTTGAGCATCAGCCTATAAACTGTGTGCATCTCCTTAGCAGCACAGATACGGGTGTTTCCCTTCAGGCAGTTATTGGCAAGGGGAATTTTTCTTGATGACTGTAGATTTTGCACTGCAGTCTGCACCAGTTATTCAGTTTGGATCGCTAATTCATAAATAGATATCATTATCCACTGGTTTTATATAACCTTTCTCAAATTAAACCCAAGTACAACTTATTACATAGAGAAAGTATGACTAAGTGGTCTAAATGGAAAAAATTTGTATTACTACAGGAGAGCACCAAGTCTGAGCCGGACACACCTTGCCTTTCCATCAAGCCAACAGGCAAGGACTTCTACAAGGTCCTGGGAATCTTGCCTGAATCCAATGAAGATGAGATCAAGAAGGCCTACAGGAAGATGGCCCTCAAGTTCCACCCAGACAAGAACAGTGACCCTGATGCAGAGGAGAAGTTCAAAGAGATCGCAGAGGCTTATGAGATCCTGAATGACCCCCAGAAAAGGAGCATTTATGACCAATTTGGAGAAGAAGGTGAGCAGATGGAACTTAATCTATCATTTTTGAATAGGTCTATCAAAACTGCCAACTTGTAGAGCAAAGTTTATGGTTAAAATTATTTTGCAAAAAAAGTGCATTATGACTAGTTAATTATTCAGAACCCAAAATAGACATCACTCTTTTGTTTTTATGGCAGAAAATGTTTCTTTATAAGGAAATGTATTCTAGAGCAATTTGCCTTAACTCCTATACTCTTTTCCTTTTAGGGCTTAAAAATGGAATTTCAGCAGGCCAAGGCAACATCTTCCGCCACAATTTCCAAAATGACCCCCACGCCACCTTCTCTTCCTTCTTCCACAACTCAGACCACTTTGACATCTTCTTCGGCAGCGACCCCGATGGCGATGACGACCTCTTTAACCCCTTCCGGCGATCCACTTTCACTAATCTCGGCGGTTTCGCCGGCTACGAGGCAGGCCTGCGGAAGGGCACACAGAACTTGTCTGGCGAGGCCGTGGTGCATGACCTCCCAGTGACGCTAGAAGAAGTGATGCATGGCTGCACAAAGCAAATGAAGATCACACGTAGTCGGCTCAACCCTGATGGCCGGAGCCTGAGAACTGAGGAGAAGGTGTTAAATGTCATGGTGAAGAAAGGCTGGAGGGCAGGCACCAGGATCACCTTCCCCAGGGAGGGAGATGAGACCTCTAACAGCCCCCCTGCAGACATCACCTTTATTCTAAGAGACCAGGATCACCCACAGTACAAGAGAGATGGGGCCAACATTGTCTACACAGCCCAGATCACTCTTAAAGAGGTGAGTCTACTCTTGGGTCCACATGTCCCATATTTCAAATACTCACAACTGAGATAGTGGCTACAATCTACTGCCTTTTGTTCTTAAATACAAAACAAAAACAAAAATCATATTAAGTACTCTAGATAAAAATTTCAGGTTCTTTATCTAGTCTCAAAAGAACACCATGTTCCAGTCTGGGCATTTCAGCCCACCACTCACAGTAGCCTGACAGACCCACACAAACCAAACGACAGCAGTCTGCCAACACCTCAGTTACCTCAGCAGCCCCTGCAGAGTGAAAGAAAAAAATGAGCTAAATTTAGCCCTGCCTGCTGACTGCACCCACGAATCGCACTTCAGCCTCCCTCTCAGCCATTGCTCTCACTGTAGCCTCAACAAACCAGGCGGAGGGAGAGAGAGCAGAGAGAGACATTTCTTCTGGCTCACTCTTCCTCTGCCTCTCAGTTCCACCGACCCACGCACAGATTAGCAGAGCAGCAGTCACAGAGACTGACATTTCAAATAGCTCCTCCATCCTCTTTTGGCTCCCCATCAGTCACTGAAACACTTGACTCCCACACACAGGAGGGAAATAGAACACTGATAATAACATCTGTACCACTGTTGCATAACTCAGTCAATCTTTTCACAAGTACACATACATAATATTCATCAGTTACACAACTGTGTATGCATCACTTTACCTAATTAGTTTTAGAGCTAATATTGACAGTAGGCCTCAAGATCTAACTTTATCTCTCCTTTGTTTTCTCTCCAGGCTCTCTGTGGATGCACAGTCAATGTACCAACCCTAGACAACCGCATGATGCCTCTACCATGCAGCGACATCATCAAGCCAGGCGCGGTCCGGCGGCTAAGGGGCGAGGGTCTCCCACAGCCCAAGAGCCCATCCCAACGGGGCGACTTGGTGGTGGAGTTCCAGGTGGTCTTCCCTGACAGGATCCCACCACAGTCCCGCGAAATCATCAAGCACAGCCTGGGGCAGTGCTAGCCTTCTGCATTTCCACTTCACACAGCCTTGCCGTGTGTCTTTCTTATTTCTCAAACACAGCCTTGCCTACGGTGCTAATATCACAACCAATCACAACCTCTTATTGTGTTTGGAAAAGGCAAACAGAGCTGAGTAGGTCAAACTGTACTTTAGAGAGGAAAGTTTCTGAACTCTTAGTGCAAAGCACAACAGCTGGTGGTGCTGCGCGAGTGGTTGGTTACAGGACTAATGAATGGTTTCTTAGTAGTCTGAGGCATGCATTTATTCAACAGCCTTTGCCTGGGTGAAAAGGTATACCTGTACTGTTATACTTGCAAACTTATGGCAGGATATCAGTGTGCTATTCAAGTCTGTATAGACTTACATAAACCTTAATGGTAGAAACAAGCGAAGAAAAAAAACATCTTTCTCCTTTTTCTTCTTCTTCTTCTTATGGTTATATGGTGCTCATATGACTGATTTTTTGCATTGATTTATTACAATAGCAAAAACTACTTGTGTGCAAAGGTCTACTTTGTGTACAAAATGAAAATAATGTTGTCTCTAAAAGAGATTCACTTGTCAAATGTTCTATCGAATGACTAGAAAAGTTTGTATATATTCTGCAATAATAGTTAATGATGTGTTCCTACTTTATTCTACGGCATGAAAAATAAAAGACAAAAAAAAAAATGTTTTTTGTTATGTTTTTTTTTTGTGAACAGATTAGTAGATAACTGTTTATGTTTCCGAAGTCGTTTGGTCTATAAACAAAGAACCACTCACAATTTCTATGTTCACCAAAACCCCATCAAGTCCATGTGATCAGTTCACAAGTACTTTAAGAACATATTCAGCATTAATTCAGAATATATGATTCAGTTTTAGGGTTTAGAGTGCTCTTTTTTGACAACTCCAGTGAATTAGCAAAACTACTTTATGAACACACCATTAAAATATCTTTTTATAAAACACTTGCATGCAAATTATTAGAAGCAAAAGCCGCTTTAATCAAGAAATCAGTCATCATAACTGGCTTTTATTGCTATTGCTGATTCCATATTCTTAAACCTCTTGTAGAATGCATTTGCAGTACATTCTGGCTATTCACAGTCCTTAGTTGCTCAAAATTTTTTACAATCCAGGCGAGATGTATCAAATATTTTGCACTTGTGTTGTAAATTATATCACTTTAAAAGGAAAACTTTAAACTGTATGGAAATGGTTTTATAACCATAGAGAATGATGGGGTTTGAGATAATTGCAGATCTAAAGTATTTCTATATTTACATTGTGCTCTTGTAAATAGCTTTACACCCCAGAGCAATGGAATGCTAAAACCGCTTTTATAGAGGTGATAAGCGCCTTTTGGTAATGATACCTTTGGGGGAACTGCAGAGATCAACAATTTAAGCAGCATGATCTGTTAAAAGGAAAATATTTGTTCATGTATGGTACTGTCTTTCTTGCACTTAGATAAGAGGCAGAGAAACATATTGCTGAAGGGAAGATATTATTTTATTTAAAAAAAAAATGATTCTCATCAGTAGACTGGGCACGCTATAAAAAAGCTTGATGCAGTCCTGAGTTTGATCGCCGACCTTTTGCTTACTGCATGTCTTTCACTTCTCTCTCTGCCCCTCCTCATATGAATGTAAGGACAAATAAAGAGTACTAATGCCAGAATACATAAATAGATAAAACAAAATAAATAAAACACAAAATTAAACTTTTTGAACCCATGTACAATGTGTCATAATGAAGGAAACACTATATATCACCATGAACACATCATCCCGACAATCAAACATGTTAGTGGCACTATCATGGTATGGGCCTGCTTTAAATATGCAGCAGTAGGGAGGCCTGTAAGGGTGAAAAAAAATAGGATGAAGTTGAAGAAAATTCTCAGATAAAAACAAAAAAAGAGAGAATAGGGTGGAGGTTCACCTTACCAGCGATGTTCAGTGCGAGCCTTTTACTCACATTTGCACCTAAAAATATACCAGTCAGTAGGAAAAAAATAGGAGCATGTTTGCAAGTAAAGATTTCACCCCTTTCATTCCCATTTTGCTCCTATTTACGTAAGATATTCATTTGACTTCGATTAAAATTTAAGAAAGGGAAGAAAATTCCGAAAAATCAAATGGTAAATTTATATGAGGGAAATAGGCCACTCATACCGGGTGAATATTTAAGGAACGGACTGTAAGACTGTGTACTCTTAAGAGCAACCGGAGGTTCGCCTGGAAGATGAATTGGATACGTGTTTACATCCATGTAATTTCTAGAACATTTTTTGTTTTACAATAAATAACCTGTTATTTTTAATAAAACAATCTACATGTTAATTTTGTATTTTTTTTTAAATGCAACAGGGGGGACATTTCTTAAATCTTGGAATGCTACTTTTAATAACTGCGTGGTAACAGTATGTTGCTAATTATTATGCTGTTAATTTGACTTACTGTCTCATTTTTATGTATTCGTTTTTATACTTTTAACTTTTAGGCTATGTGTATTGGCACGCTTCCCATTTCTTTTAACTTTGCTTCTCAAACGCCTAAAAAAAATGAAGGATAATTCTTTTCTATTCTGCCTCTGCCATGTAAGGCCTTTTATTTGCTCGGGAGAATTACGCTTGCAAATTTAGCCAAGTTCCATACTGGATTTCCTTGTAGTAGTTTCCCAGAAGTTGTCTTCTTTTCAAATCTGGTAGTTCCTAGGAAACATTCCATTTAGTTTAATGTCTAAATGTTTGCTAATGTAACCAAAGTTTTGTGACTTAGAGATACTTTTTTGTTGATTTTTTTTTTTTATCTTTTCTGGCATTTTTAATATTACAAATTATGATGGCTGTTTAGAAACAAAGTTTTAATCTTACATTTATAAAAACTTTTTATACTAGATACTGCAAATTACATGCAGAGAAAAAAGTCAGAATCCTGAGAGAAAATTTCAGAATTCTGAGATTAAAGTCAGAATTCTGAGGGGGGGGGGATCTGAATTCTGGGATTAAAGTCAGAATTCTGTTGTTTTTTTTTCCATATTAAACTGAAATATTTAAAAATCAGTTAACTTTTTTATTTTTTCAGTGGCCCTAATCCTCTTCCTTAGTAGTACTGAGCTTTAAATGTCTTCTATAAAATATAGGGGCCACTTGCTGCCATCTAGCGGTCAGTCATTGCTTTAACACTTAGTGTCTCAAACAACAAGACACACCTGCTGGACTGTAGATGCTCTGTGAAAATCTAATTAAATACTTACGTTTGACACATTTAGACAAGTAACATTTTTGATCATCAGTTATGGGGAGTAATGCGATGGAAATCGGTATTTGTGTAGAATTTCCCGGACCAAACTTAAAGTAACCCTACCTGATTGGAAGACTGAAGCACCTGTGTGAACAGCGAGTAGGTGAAGAACCAGCGGAGATCTGCGTTTTTCTAAATTCCTCCGCCATGCGCTTGGGAATGAAATGTCGCAAATACGTCAGACCACCCCACAGACTCTGACTGAAGGTTACCCTGTGACAAACCTGACCCTAGTTGTCCTGTTGCTCATTCCCTGCGTGGTTATTCTTCTCCTGTTGAACTGTTTCTTCTTGGGCTACAAGATCCTGGCCCTGTCAAAGAAGAGCAGCAGACAGAGGAGAGGGGACACGGAGGACATGCTCCTGCGCTCCACCTTGCAAAGACTGAGAGTATCCGACGTGGCCTTTTCCCCACTGGGGGACGGGAGGACAGCCTACATGTCCCTGTCCGAGCCCGTCCTGTCCCACCCAGTCACTTCTTCAAGGGCCTCGTCCAGAGATGGGGCCGGGTTGACCCACAGGATCAGGCTGCTGAGGCCTGATGGTGCGACTGGCTCTGGATCCTTGAGGGCTCCCAGCACCATCCGCGCCGCGTCCTCCGCGCAGGGCTTCACCCCCAGGCTCCCCATCCCTCCCAGCTGCAGGAAGCCGGGCTGGTGTCAGAGCGCACCGCTTTTATTGCGCTCCAGTGACTCAGAGGCTGAAACCAGAGTCAACCTGGTTCCACCAAACTCTCCTATGGTAAGTTCTGAGGCATTTGCATAAAATAGCAATAGTTAAATTACAGATTAAACAGTGGATGTAGCCTACATCTGAATTGTTTTTCCATAAACACATAGTGCAAAGAGTATTTACTCCCCTGCCTGCACACTAATTTTGCAGTAATCTCAATCTTATTCTCTTAAAACTTTTTTGGGATGACTTAAGGATGTGTTGGAAGTCCTTTACATAAATCCTCTGTTTATGCATTGAACTGGCATCTCTGACAGTAAAACAGCAGAGAAACTTTTTATAAGGGTGACCAGGCAGAAAGTAGATAGGCACCAGAACCTCAGGGTCAATCTACACTGTTCCAACAGGAAAATTAACTAGCAAAATATCCATATTTTCTAAATAAAGACAAACTATACTTTTCTACAGGCTTTGCTAATAAATAGACGCATATATTTAAAGATCCGTAATTTCTAGATGAAAGCTATAGTGGATAAAACTCAGTTTTGAGTTCTGGGGCGTAAATCAATCATCACTGTCATTACTTACCTACTTGTATCAATAAATATTCTGCATAAAATTGATATTTACAAGCATTATCTACATAAATTGAATATTTGATAAGTTTTTATTAAAATAATTTATCTTTGATTTCACTGCAGACTCATAGATGACTTGCAGATACACAAAAATTTCTCTTTACCCCATATAAGACAAAATCTAGTTCTAAAAAGAGCATGAATTCTGTACTTATCATCTTTGATGTTAGCAAATTCATGTGTATAATTAACCACAAAAAATAAAATGTTCTCCACTTGAGAGTATTAGTCTTGCCCCATCTGTATTAGAGGGTATAAATGGTAGGGGTAGAAAACACAGGGGTTGCCAATGATTGCCTAAGGGTGGCCATGGCCACCCCTGGCCCCACATCTAGCTCCGCCCCTGTAAAACAGCACCTTGACAAATGATATAACGTTTTAAGACCTGGAGGCCCGTACATGGACTTCTACATAACGTCTTCTATTTGCTCTTCCAAAATCTTTCTCTTTCTGACCAATAGAGTATTTGTGTTTTAGAGTTTGTCACTGATTTCCTTTAATACTAATCTGAGCATAGGCGACGTATGGGTGAGAAAATTTATGAAGATTCTAAGGGCCCTTGATTGAGGGGGGGGGGGGCCAAAAGAAGAGGAAAATATGTCCCACTATAATTTTCAAATATATAGCAGAAAATCCATCAGTGAAATAAAACATTTGTGTTCTCCTTCATTTTTCAGCAGTAAACAGCGAAACAACTCATGAATGTATTGAATATATGAATAGATTTTTATACCATTAAAATGATTCTTATTATTATACTATACCATAAATATATATTATTATTAAACCATTTTATACCATTAAAAGACATCTCTAAATCTTGATCATTCTCATGAGCAGCCTGAAGCAGCCACACCAAAAATATATGTTTTGTCATTACATGTATACATGAATGTTAAATTAGTTCTCGGGGCCAGCATGAAAATGATTTAGTAAAGTTACAGGGAAACCCTAATAGGAATATTTTTTTAAATTCCAAAACCTATTTTCTATTCATGTGTACATAGATACAGCTGTGCTTTTTGTTTTAAATAAGCTTTCATTATTTTTGATAGTATCTAAATGTAAAGTTTAAAGTATATTTAACTTTTTCACGTTATAATTTTCCTTTGTAGAAATTTTACAATAAAAATTACATCAAAAATGTAAATGATACTCTTTCGTGCATCTTTATTGCAGAGGTTTTTTTGGGGGTGGGTCTTTCATGGGTCCCCAAATTCCTGGCGGTGCCCCTGCTTGTACATATGTCTGCTCCAAAAAATACAATGATTTAAAACACGCAAAACAGATTTTTAGAATGGAAAAAGCTGACTGACAAGAAGCTGTAATGGCTCTGGCTTCAAACTTATTTGAAACTTGCGCAGTACTAAAACGATTGGTTTGTGATTGAAAACTAACGTAGGCGACCTGAGATGCAATGTTGGAAAGAACTGCGAAATATCTTGCAACACTTATCCCAGAGGCCTGCTGATTGCTGCAGCAATGTATATAGTGTCGGCATCACACTCAGGAACTCTAACCTAATATATGCAGAAGTAAAAGTATATTTTTGAGTTTGTTTGTATAATTTAGATTCTGTCCTTTAGAGATAATCAACAAAAATGGGTTCAAATACGTCGTTAAATCTCCATAATTAATGTCGGTCTACATGCATACATGATATGTGTACATAGATTGACTCAGCTAGAATAGATGCTGAAATTCCACACTTGCTTTTTTTTATTAGTGGCAGATGGCATAAGTCTATACAGCAGTCATAGAGATAAATGAGCAGAATCTTAGAGAGAGAACATTTGAGTCATTGCTAGTTTCATTGTTGAGTACAATGACTAACAATCAAGAGAGAATAAAAAAAAAAAACCCAAGGAACTACAACAGGAAGTGGGATTCTTCTGTCTACAGCTGCTACTCATAACTTCTGTCAACTTTTTTTGTTGTTTTTTCCCCCTGTATTCATAGCATGAAATGGAACATATGGATCACATTCGTAGGAGCAGTACTTATGAAAAGCTGGCAGAAGCGAAGGAGGAGGCTCCTGTGCATCCGTACGACAAGCTGGTTATGGAGTGTGAAAACATCAACCCAGCATCAGATATATCCAGTCTGAACACGTCAACTGTGGGTCCTGGACTGGACAGCGACTTCGGAGCAAGTGCAGGTAAAATAAAAAAAGACTGCAACTAAAACTGTTTTCACATTTGCCATGCAAATTTGTCTTTCTGCTTGCAGTATATTTTTTATATAGGCTAACACTTAGGTCTATATAATTTTGTTTTCCTTAGGCTTAACATCCATTTATTAGAAGCAGTTATGTTTAAATACTAAAACATTACAGAAGTATGGACATTGTCTTCCAGGTGTCTCCCTGCGCATTTTGTCAGCAGATAGTGACGGCCTGTCCAACGGACTGCTGTCCTCAGCGCTAGAGTGGGATTACTATGACCCATGTTACGTCAGACAAAATAATATACCCAAACATAACAACCACAGGCCTGTGATGCACACAAAACAATATTGGGTATAGCTAGTAGTTTTATTCGTGTATTTCTATTTTATTTTTTTTACTTTACACGTTTATTCCACATAAAATACCAATATGAATGTTTTATTTAAAGTTTGTCTTAAATGTAATCACTTTATTAATCCACTGTATTTTTGTTGTAGACAGCACTATTGTCTTAATGTTAACACCGATTCTTCACTTAAGTTAATATATTACGTTTCCTCTGCATCCTTCACTCAAAATTTAAGTTTTTCACCATTTATCACCACTGTTATGGTTTTAATTTTAAGTTTCACACCTTTTCACTTTCCTGAGGTTTGTGTCACTATGTAGGATGTTATTCACACAAAGGATGGAGAATGCAATAAAGCTTTTTTATAATAAATTGATGTTGTAGTCTAACATTTTTACTAAGATTGTTGAAAAGCTTAACCAGACCTAATGCACTTTGGATTGTTTTTTTTCTTATTAAACTGTTGGATATGTAAAGAGAAGATTAAAACATTGGTAAATTCAATTCAAACTTTTCACGTCCCATAAATCTTTTTACACTTGGTCACATTAAAACCCACTCTTTACAAGTATTTTAGGTCGTACATGTTTTTCAGCATTCATAAAACAAAGTGAAAATTATCTGTATTTACTGGCACATCTTTATTTTGACTTACTTAAAAAGTAGATTTATTTTACACAGCAATGTTCTTATACTATATAGAGTATTGGCAAATAACTATTGACTCAGTATGATAACAGCAAAGCTCAAAACATACTTTTATTACTTATTGTGTAGTGTGAAATTTTAGAAAAGGTTTGATCAAGTGATTTTATTCAGAGAAGTTGCATAACCTTTTAACAGAAGCACTGTTTCTATCAGCCTGCTTATATTGGAAATTTTATTTATATTCTGATAATTGTTTGCCTAATATCAAACTGATTTCTATTACCGGTAATATTGGATCAGGAAATCCCTATTTAAAATGGGGAAATATTTCAAGCCTTTACTCTTTGAATCGTGGCTGTTTTTGGATGAAGAGACTGAAAACCCAAAGTTCCAATCTCAGAATTAGAATATCTCCCTTTCTTTGGTCTTGGTGAAGGAAAAATGAATTATCACAAGCACTATCTAGTATGGAGTTCAACTTCTGTTTTAGAAGCATTTTAGTGAGGGTAACCCCCAGATTCCACATACTCTGTCATGTTAATCAATGAGAGCTGTTCCACATCCACTGTTACCCCATCCTCACGTAACCACCCACATACGTCTTCTCCGTCCGTCACCTTCAAAATACCGAGCTGAGCTATGCTATGCTCTGGTCCGGCCAGCTCAAGATCTGCAATTGCAATCGCACCAAACAGGAAAAAGAACGCAGAGGAGACCCGGTTTGTCAAATTAAAATATAATACCAATCGTAACTACAAATTAGAGCATAATTCTTATATATTCCCAAAAACTAAGACCATAATTAAAGTATTGGAAGCAAACTATTTGTACTTCAACATACCAGGAGGGTGATTTCTCATCTCTTTATACTGAGGCTCAAAAGTTTAATCAAATCTAGTCAAAACTTCCAAGAGCGCATCTGACAACTTCAAAACAAACTTATCGCAGTAATGGATGACGTTGAGTTTGGAAGTAGAGAACAAACATGGTTCATACAAACCATTTATATATGATAGTAGTTATCCCTGTTACAAAAATCCTTCAAAAATCCATATTTGGTCAAACTGCACATATGCTGGACGCTGATGGGTTTTTTTTTTTTTTTTACATGTCACATTAAGTGTTTATTTCCGCATGGTTTGCTCCTATAAATTTAACAATATCATGCATGCTCTCCTCGGGCTCCAAGGAAGTCTGAGCGGAGAGAGACAGGAGGAACAGCGGAGGCTGAAGGTTTTGCTTTCTGCAGGCGGTTTGGAGCGGTTACGTAGGATTTCAGGGTAAGCATGTAGCCTACTATACAGTCTTTATCAATTAGTTTATCCGTTGGAAGTTCATTTTTAATCCACCCATTATAAATTCATGCTCATATTCCAGAGGCCAAGCTATGCTTTAGCTCAGGCCATCAGAGGTAAACTAGTATTTCTGTTATGCTACAATTTATACAAAGAGCCTTTTCTCAGATCAACTTAAAATTAAATCATCTGGATTCTTAATGAAGAGCGCCATACTGATAACTCCACAGCAAAATCGATAGCGGGGAAAATAAGTTACAGCAATGCCATGTTGTTGGAACACTTTATTTTTCTTTGGGAGATAATTATATACTAAATCAAGTGTCTTGATTTCTTTTTTTTTTGTAATTTCTTTAAAGTATGACCGATGCTTTGAAATGCAACTAAACCAAATAAAAATCAAGTTACTCGAAGCTGGAAAGGAAGTTCAAGACAATCTGCTTGAGTTTAGCATCAGAAGCTTCAGATATTTTCCCATCAGCCCTGCAAAGAAGAGCAAACCCGTTATAACACATTTCTTATAAGAAAGAAAATGGAACATGCAGTATTTCTAACTTACTTGATAGCTGCCAGCAAGTCTTGCTGCTGGCTCAATATGTGCTGCAGAAAAGCTTTTTCAAACTTGGTGATCTTGCTTGGCTCCATCTTGTCCAGGTGTCCTCTCACACCTGCATAAATGACCGCTACCTGTTCTTCAATAGCCATTGGAGCTGAAAGATAAAAGTCAGGCAGTTTGAGTTAGATAAGAGCTTATTCTCAAGAAAACTAGGAACACGCAGCTAATACTTACAGTACTGTCCCTGTTTCAGGAGTTCAGTTAGACGAACGCCGCGGTTTAGCAGCTGCTGTGTGGCAGCATCCAGGTCTGAACCGAACTGAGCGAAGGCGGCCACTTCACGGTACTGGGCCAGCTCCAGCTTCATTGTACCAGCCACCTGATGCAAGGCAGCTTCAGGTTAGTTAAAGTGAAACATATAGAGTGAGGGGATCTCAGCAAGGATTTACCTGCTTCATGGCTCTGGTCTGGGCAGCAGATCCGACACGTGACACTGACAGACCAACATTAATGGCAGGACGAATACCTTTGTAGAACAGCTCGGTCTCTAAGAAGATCTGTGGGAGAGAACTGTATTTAATAAGTAACTCCAAGTCTGGCCATATCGAGCATAAAGAGTGAATAATCGGCTGCTCGCCTGTCCGTCTGTGATGGAGATGACATTTGTTGGAATGTAGGCCGACACGTCTCCAGCCTGTGTCTCGATAACAGGAAGGGCGGTGAGGGAGCCACCACCAAAGTTGTCGTTCATCTTGGCAGCTCTCTCCAGCAGACGGGAATGCAAGTAGAAGACGTCTCCTGGGTATGCCTCACGGCCGGGGGGACGGCGGAGCAGCAGGGACATCTGACGGTAGGCGACAGCCTGCAGACATAAAAAAAAGATTTTACTTCATTCAAATCTGGTGCTTTATTAGAAGCCATGAGGACTTGAAATCTATCCACCAGCAGGAGATAGAAGCTTCACCTGCTTGGAGAGATCGTCGTAGATGATGAGGGCATGCTTGCCGTTGTCTCTAAAGTACTCCCCCATGGAGCAGCCAGAGTAGGGAGCCAGGTACTGCAGAGGAGCAGCGTCGGAGGCGGTGGCAGAGACCACGATGGTGTACTTCATGGCATCTGCATCAGTTAGCCTCTTCACCAGCTGCGCCACAGTGGATCTCTTCTGGCCAATAGCAACATAGATGCAATACAGCTTTTTCTTCTCGTCGGTTCCATCGTTGAAGCGTTTCTGGTTGATGATTGTATCGATGGCAATGGCGGTTTTGCTGCAAAGCAAATGTAAATATCTTTGTTGATGTTGTCCTTACAAATAGGTTTTTTAACAGAGTACAGAATCACAAAGGTTGCAGGATTCCTTTCAGTTGGAATTCTAGAGCTAATGTATGAAAATGCTTTAATATGAACCTTTCCTGCTGGAAAGAAAATCTTCATCCCAGTCATAAATGTTTGGCAGCATGGAACAGATTTCTGCTTAATTGTTGGCTTGTGTTCAGCTCAGAAAATCTACCAATTCACTCTGACCAGCTTCCCTGCCCCTGAAAAATATGCAAGTGATGTCTAAACCCCACAACTTGTTCCCTGCCCTGATTCCTAAAGGGAAATAGATACTTGGGGAGTTAAGGGGTACCAGTTCAAAAAAAAAAAAAAATTTGCTTCAATTTAGTTTTTTTTACAGTTAAAAACAAAGAATTTTTTAATTTTAACTTTATTCTCATGTGCAATTTTGTGGTGATCCCATACATTAAAGCCAGGAGTGACGCACTGTTTATGGCGGTAGTGTGAAAAAATATAAGAGCCCAACCGCCTGCCTGAAAACTAGACCATAGCAGCTCAAAACAGTTTAAAAATGTTTTTTCTCGAAAAAAAAAAAAAAAAATGATGTCACTCTGTCTGTTGGACCCACCGCGCCAAATG